TATCTATCTATCTATCTATCTATCTATCTATCTATCTATCTATCTATCTATCTATCTATCTATCTATCTATCTATCTATCTATCTATCTATCTATCTATCTATCTATCTATCTATCTATCTATCTATCTATCTATCTATCTATCTATCTATCTATCTATCTATCTATCTATCTATCTATCTATCTATCTATCTATCTATCTATCTATCTATCTATCTATCTATCTATCTATCTATCTATCTATCTATCTATCTATCTATCTATCTATCTATCTATCTATCTATCTATCTATCTATCTATCTATCTATCTATCTATCTATCTATCTATCTATCTATCTATCTATCTATCTATCTATCTATCTATCTATCTATCTATCTATCTATCTATCTATCTATCTATCTATCTATCTATCTATCTATCTATCTATCTATCTATCTATCTATCTATCTATCTATCTATCTATCTATCTATCTATCTATCTATCTATCTATCTATCTATCTATCTATCTATCTATCTATCTATCTATCTATCTATCTATCTATCTATCTATCTATCTATCTATCTATCTATCTATCTATCTATCTATCTATCTATCTATCTATCTATCTATCTATCTATCTATCTATCTATCTATCTATCTATCTATCTATCTATCTATCTATCTATCTATCTATCTATCTATCTATCTATCTATCTATCTATCTATCTATCTATCTATCTATCTATCTATCTATCTATCTATCTATCTATCTATCTATCTATCTATCTATCTATCTATCTATCTATCTATCTATCTATCTATCTATCTATCTATCTATCTATCTATCTATCTATCTATCGTAGGGATGCACCGATATTTTTGGCCGATACCGATAACCGATAATTCTTCAGACTTGGAGGCTGATAGCCGATATATACATAGGCCGATAATTATAAATATTTCAAAATGTTATATTTTTATACAGCAAACTTCATAAAAGATTTTACTGCTCTTTTGAACTGAATAGCCTATACACAAAGCAAAAAAGCTATGATTTCAAAATTGCAAGGTGATTATAGACCTATATTAACGATTTCACACAAATCAGCATGCAAAAAATACATTATTTTATTTTCTTCACAGCAAATTAACATGCAACTTGACTGTTGCATAAAAATAATAGGTTATAATCAGCAAGCAAGTTAAATATATTTTAAATAAGATGAAAATGAAAGAGCCAAGTACTAAAACCAGCTCAAATGTTCTTAAATAAAATGTCACAGTAATGTACATGTGTACAAATGTGTCATGTCCGAAAAAGCCTTTTTTAGAGGTGTTTTGACCGTTTAGAGCCACCATACAAGTGAAAAGCTAGATACAGAATGTATTATTTTAGAAAATGCTGCATAAATTCTTTTTTTGAGCACATGTAGCATCAATGCTTCTGTGTTCGTTCTTGCTGTTAATCGCGGGGAAAATGATGGATGAAAAGTGAGGGCTCAGATTTGCCCTCGGAGTCAGATTTTGATACAAACCTGATCATTGAGCTCAGACGACTTTATGACAAACACAGAGCAGAATATAAATTCAATTTTCAATTCAATTCAGCTTTATTTGTACAGCGCTTTTACAATGTAGATTGTGTCAAAGCAGCTTCACATAAATGGTCATAGTAACTGGATCAGGGTGGTTCAGTTTTTAGTGTTTAAGTTCAGTTCAGTTTAGCTCAGTTCAGTGTGCTTTAAATTATTACTGAGAGTCCAAACACTGAAGAGCAAATACATCGATGCGTAGCTCTACAGATCCTAAACCATGCAAGCCAGTGGCGACAGCGGAGAGGGAAAAACTTCACTAATAGTAGAGTGAAGAGAAAAAAACCTGAGAGAACCAGACTCAGTTGGACACGACCATTTTAATTTCTCCACTGGATAAAAGTCTTGTGCAGAGCTGCAGTCACCGCGGTGGAGGCTGGAAGATGGCCTCAGCGAATACTCGTCTGTCCCTGGAGCGTCGCTGGAATCAGACTCATGTTCTCCACTCCCCCCTGACCAACAGCGCAGCAGCAGCTCAGGATACGGCCTGGTCCAGGATATGGACACCTTGGGATCATCTCGTCGCTGGTCTTGAATTGATTCAGTGACTCTGCATTATCTGAGGGCCTCGGAATGAGTATCCCCAGGTGGAAATAGAGAATAGAGAGAATAATTAGCGTAGCTGCTGTTCATAGTGTATATAAACAAGATGTAGAAGCCCGTGTGGAACCCGCTAAGTGATGCATTGAGTGTATGCTTTACTAAACAGATAGGTCTTTAATCTGGTGTTGAACTGAGAGGGTGTATCTGAGCCTCGGATGTTATCAGGAAGGCTATATAAGACAGAATGTTTGGCCCGTATGCTGGATTCAGTGACCGGTGCACCTAAGCTCTTCCCTGTTGATTTGTGAAGGCTCAAGGCTGTCAGATCGATGTGTGTGTGCGCGCGCGGTGAAAGCTCTCTCGCGCGCTCGTTATAATCAATATGAATATTCTGATCAAACTGAATACAATCTTACATCAACAACACATGGCAAGCAACACGTTGACAATAACAAATAATCAGATTAGATCACAAACAGCCTGACAAGTTTTTGTTTAGCACGTCACGTGTGCAGGTCAGTTTGGTGTGTGTGTGTGTGTGTGTGTGTGTGTGTGTGTGTGTGTGTGTGTGTGTGTGTGTGAAGCGAAGAGGGAGAGACAGAAAAGAGGATAGTTTTTTTGCAATGAGAATTTCAGGGATGCTCCCTCTTTTGGTGATTGTAAGTTACATGTGTCCTCGTTCATTTACCGGTTGCAACTAAAAGAGAAGGTAGTTTGAGTCGGCCCTGGAGTAATAAGTGAATCTCCCCTGCTATCTCTAACGCAACAAAGAGACGGAGCAGGAAAGGTTTACACATGTAGTATTTTTTCCTGAGACGATTTAAAGCAAAATACACAATGACACTCTATCAAACACATCTACAATGATAAGGATTATGTTTACTTACTGAGTTATTAACGCACAGCAATGCCACATGAAGAAAGGACAGACGTTGAAGAAATAAACAATGAGGAGAGCTCCATTAGAGTGCAGTGGGCAAGTCTGAACACATTCCACCCACGCATGCGCGAGGCAGACGGGTCTGTACAATTCCGTATTTTATCGGCTTAAATATATCGGCCTAATTTAGACATCGGATCGATAACGATAATCTTAAAAATTGCATTTATCGGCCGATAATGATATGGCCGCAAATATATCGTGCATACCTAATATATTGTCTACTGATATTTGTCAGGGAAAGAGTTCAGCGCTGTCCTCATTTAACTCATCACTTGTAAAATGATTAATACATCACTGAGTTATTATTCAGATCAGGGGTATACACATATAATGAATGAATTTTTAATCACCCACTGACGATTCTACTTCCACATTTCCTTACTTATGACATAAAAATGGATTTTGAAAGATCTAAAACATGTCTGCTTTTCGAGATTAAATGATGATGAGTTTATATTTGATCTGCTCTTGGCTGTTGTGAATGGCTCCTCATGGATCGGCAGTATGGTTATAGGCTGTGGTGTTGTGTTGTAGTCTTGTGTTGACTCTTCATGGCTCTGCTGTATGTTCACATGTGTCGTGTTGGGCTGGTGTGTTATTGTGTTGTGACTGTGCTGTCTTCATCTCCTCAGGTGTTCCAGTGAGAGTGTCTCATTTAAAGGATGGCATCAGTAAAGAGACCCCGCTGGAGATTTTCTGCTATCTGAATGAGATCGGGTGAGCAGAAACAAACTGACCTCAGATCAGGAGTCATGTGACCCTGAGCCTGAAGGGGGCGCTTAGAAGCTGAAGATCTAATAGTGGTGTTGTCTACAGTTCACTGGAGAATATCTCTGCATTCATTTATTAATCAATAACCTGATCTCTCGTACACAGAGGAAAGCATGGTGTGGGGAGGATCGATATCGTGGAGAACCGCTTCATCGGAATGAAGTCCCGAGGTAAGAACGCTCACGTTTCTCAGATTCATTGCATTTTTAAAAGTGCTTTAGATTAGTTAATGTCATTATTAGGGAATTACCTGAAGTATAATAGAAAGCAGAAAGTAAGTTAGAAACTATTTGTATATACAGTGGGTACGGAAAGTATTCAGCCCCCCCTTAAATGCAGCCATTTGCTAAAATCATTTAAGTTGATTGTTTTCCTCATAAATGTCCACACAGCAGCCCAAACTGACAGACAAACACAGAACTGTCGACATCTCTGCAGATTCATTATAAATAAATCTGAACTGTCACACGGTCCTCAGTATTCAGAGCCTTCGCTTAGTGTTCAGCAGAAGCCCCCTGTTGATCTAATCCAGCCGTTAGTCTTTCTGGGGAAGATGCAACAAGTTTTTCAGACCTGGATTTGGGGATCCTCTGCCATTCCTCCTTGCAGATCCTCTCCAGTTCTGTCAGGTTGGATGGTAAACGTTGGAGGACGGCTATTTTTAGGTCTTTCCAGAGATGCTTAATTGGGTTCAAGTCAGGGCTCTGGTTGGGCCATTCAAGAACAGTCACAGAGTTGTTGTGAAGCTACTTCGTTGTTATTTGAGCTGTGTGTTTAGTGTCATTGTCTGGTTGGAAGGTAAACCTTCAGCCCAGTCTGAGGTCCTGAGCACTCTGGAGAAGGTTTTGGTCCAGGATGTTCCTGTACTTGGCCACATTCATCCTATACTGCAACCAGTCGTCCTGTCCCTGCAGCTGAGAAACGTCCCACAGTATGATGCTGCCTCCACCACGCTTCACTAACGGGTCTGTATTGGACAGGTGAGGAGCAGTGCCTGGTGTTCTCCACTCATACCGCTTTGAATTAAGGCCTAAACATTCTGTCTTGCTCTCATCAAACTACAGAATCTTGTTTCCCACCATCTTGGAGTCCTTCAGATGTTTTTTTAACTGCTTTCATGTGTCGGGTCACTCAGCCATAAAGCCCCGACTGGTGGAGGCTGCAGTGATGGTTGACGTTCTCCAACTTTCTCCCGGCTGCATCTCTGGAGCTCAGCCACAGTGATCTTTGGGTTCGTCTTCACCTCTCTCATCAAGCCTCTTCTCTCCTGATAGCTCATTTAGTCCAGACGGCGAGCTCTAGGAAGGTTTCTGGTCATCCCACACCTCTTCATTTAAGGAATATGGAGGCCACTGTGCTTGGAGGAACCTTCAGTGCTGCAGAAATGTTTCTGTAAGCTTGTCCAGATCTCTGCCTTGCCACAATTCTGTCTCTGAGCTCTTCTGGCAGTTGCTTTGACCTCAGGATTCTCATCTGCTCTGACGTGCACTGTGAGCTGTAAGATCTCCTATAAACAGGTGTGTGCCTTACCTAATCAAGTCTATAATCAAACACAGCTGGACTCAACTGAAGCTGTAGAAGCATCATGGACTGCACCTGAGTTAAATATAGGAGCGTCACAGCAAATGCTCTGTCTGTTTCTCAATATGCGTTCCTCAGTGGTCTTGGGTCCTCGTGTAGCGTCATCATCAATCGCCAAAGTTCAGCTCCAAATCTCAACACTGCAAGAACGAAGGACGCATGAAAGATCATGGATGGATATCGAGGACGCATCGGTGCAGACTTGAGCACCAAACTTGCTCTAGAAGTCCCAGAAGTCATTGAGACTGAAAAAAGGAGGCGGAAAGCAAAGTATTTAATATAGATTTATTATTAAAGTTCAGAGTTATGACTTATCTCAGGAGTTTTCCCCTGAATGAATTGGTAAACATTAACATTAAAAATCTCAATAAAGCTATACCCTGCTGAAAAATCCAGCCTTAACCAGTCTAAGATGGTTGGGCTGGTTTTAGCTGGTCGACCAGGCTGGTTTTAGAGGGGTTTTGGCCACTTCCAGGCTGGTTTCCAGCCATTTCCAGCCTGGTCTTAGCTGATCAGGGTAGGAGTTGACCAGCTAAAACCAGCTTGACCAGGCTAGCCAGACTGGGAGCCCAGTCAAAACCAGCTATGTCCAGCTTAAACCAGGATGGTCAAGCTGGTTTTAGATGATTTTAGCTGGTCACTTTCCAGCCTGACCAGCTAAGACCAGGCTGGAAATGGCCAAAACCCCTCTAAAACCAGCCTGGTCGACCAGCTACAACCAGCCAACC